GTGGTAGCCGTCTCGCTGCCCGCGGGCGGGCGCCCAGGAGGCGTGCAGGGCGGCAGAGCGCCCGACGCTGCTCAGGCTCAGGTTGCGGACGGGTGAAGGACCTGCGCCAGAGTGACATGGACGAGGGCTGGCTGGCTGCTTCGCAGGCTGCTCGAGGGCCAGTGGGACAGTGCCTTCCCCAGTGCGGTCCAGCCAGCCAGCTCCACAGGACCCAACCCCCAAGCACAGCCCCATCACCTCCCTGCCAGACCCTCAGTCTCACACAGGTTCTGTGGGCTGCACCATCCCCTTTGGATCAGTCTGCACTGTCACGCTGAACTGGGCAGGGAGGCTTGGTCAGGGACAGCACACCAGGTACGCACTGAGAAAGCCGAAGCCATCAGTGCTTACCTGGGACCTGAGCCAACAAGCTCCATAGGAGCGAGCAGGGTGCTGCTGCGGCCAAGGTGGCCAACAGGGTGCTGGGGGGCATCACCAAGGGCATCACCAGCAGAGATAAAGGAGCCATCACCCCACTCTGCTCAGCGCTGGTCAGGCCACACCTGGAATCCTGCGTGCAGTTCTGATCCCCACTGTACAAAAAAGATGTGGAGAGGCGGGAGGGGGTCCAGAACAGGGCCACCAAGGTGATCCTATGGCTGGGAAGCCTCTCTTAGCCATATGAGGACAGGCTGAGAGAGCTGGGGTTGTTCCGCCCTGAGAGGCTCAGGGGGGATCTCATCACCACGTCCCAGTACCTAAGGGGGAGCTACAGGGAAGATGGAGACTCCCTTTTCACAAGGAGTCCCATGGAGAGGACAAGGGGGAATGGACACAGGTTGCTCTTGGGGAGATTCCGACTGGACACAAGAGGGAAATTTTTCCCCATGAGAACAGTCACCCATTGGAATAATCTCCCCAGGGGAGGTGTTGACTCCAGCACATTGGACACTTTGAAGCCAACAGGGTGCTGGACCATCTTGTCTAGGCTGGTCTCTTGCCCAGAAAGGTTGGGCCAGATGATCCTGGAGGTCCCTTGCAACCTGGGATTCTATGATACCTGTGAGGTCACCTGCTGCCAGGTCCTCTGCTCCTCCTGGCCCTGGGGGTCCTGCCACCCGCCTTCCCACGAGCACCAGCCCCTACCCCCTGCAGCCACCGCTGCTGGCTGACACCGTCCCTTCTGATGGGCAGCTCCCTCCCTCCAGCTCTACTCTCCTTTTCTAGGCTTCCCACCTTTGCCTGCACTGATTTACCCAAGGATCTTCTGGGGAGGTGCAGGCAAGGGCTGCTATCCTCACCTGAGCTGTGGGCTCACCAGCCCTGCCCCCTTTCCCCCGTCCTTGACATCAGTCAGGGAGGGCATAGAGCAAGGCTTGGTGGGTGAGCCAGCGACTGACAGAGATGTGCCAAAATGATGGAGCAGATGCTACTCCCTTGTAGTTCTTTCTAGACCTGTGGGCACAACTTTTTCCACCCCTCGGCTCTCTGAAGTCCACATCATAGATTGGTCCATCATTAGCTATAAGATTCCAGGAGAAGACATAGCCTGAACCCTACCTATGCAAGGTGCAGGGGAGGACCCTCTCCTTCCACATGGATGAGGGAATGACCCCAGGGGGCTCTGGGGACCAGGGAAGGACCCTAATACTTGTGGAAGTGAGCCGCAACCTCCCGTCCCTCAGGCCGAGGCAGCAGACAGAGGCTCCACGGGAAGCAGAGGATCCCCTGCCCTCTTGCCAGCGGACAGAGGTTAGGGACCCAAAGGATGGTGGGGAATGGAAGAAGGTCTCTGCTCGGGGCAGGAGGAGAATCCCCTCCCGGCCTCCCTCACCGTCCCAGCTGCCCTTGCACAACAGATATGGGACTCTGGAAGTCGAGGGCCAGGCAATGGAGGATGGGGATGAAGGCCCGTCCGGGGGATTGGCTAGGGAGAAAAGGTCACCCCTACCTATCAAAACTGATAGTACAAAGAAAAAAAGAAGGGTAATTGTCGTGGGTGATTCCCTTCTGAAGGGAACTGAGGGCCCAATATGCCGCCCGGACCCATCCCACAGGGAAGTCTGCTGCCTCCCTGGGGCCCGGGTCAGGGACATTGCAAAGAGACTCCCTGGTCTGGTACGGCCCTCAGACTACTATCCGCTGTTGATTGTACAGGCAGGCAGCGATGAGATAGCAGAGA